CACACAGAGGAGCTCAAGAGGCAGATAAATTTGCTGTGTCCTTGGTCATTCTCTGAACATGATGAATCCAGGGGCATTTCCAGAGCCAAGGTAGGATGTGAGGGAAACACCTGTGTCTTCCAGACCTCACTTATCTCAGTGTCCCAGGGGCCTAGCATAAAAGCAGGCCATCATTCATGGGGAAGGGATTGTGACATAGTAACATCATAATGGCTACAGTTTAGTTAACTGCCCCTCTCATGCTCTCTCCCAGGAAAGAGTGGGACCCCTTGTGATGGATCTTATGAGAGTGAGGGTGGGGAGAAGAGATTCAGAGTGCATTCCAAAGGTGAGTACAATTGCAAAGCTGAGTCAGAAAGGGAATGCATAGTAACTGGCCTCTAGTTTGAAGAATGAGAGAACCTCAGGGTTTGGAAAGATGTTAAAGGTTATCTCTGCCAGTTATTTTCCAGTGCCTGATCCCCCTAAAACAGCTCTGACAAGGAAATGCCCAGCCCTCTGTTTGGATACCTCCACTGATGGGGACCTTCCAACCAAACAAAAATCCATCCCAGCTCGGTACGGTTCTCTTAGAAAATTGGACTTTTTGTTGAGTGGAAATCTATCTTCCTGTAGCTTCCACCAAATCAGGTCTAACTCTATCTGTGGGAGGCTAGAGGACAAGCCAGATTCCTCCTCCACACAACAGCCCTAGAGAGATTTGAAGCCTAAATGACTGTGTCCTCCCTGAGTTTTTCCTCTCCAGGCTAAATACTCACAGGTGCTTTAATTGTCTCTTCTCACATGGTTTCCAGGCCCTTTGTCAGATTTGTGTCCACTGACTGCTTCCCGCTTTGCTTAGAGCTCTCCAAGTATGGAGTTAGAGCACAAGCTCACGTCAGACCAGAACCATCCCTTCCCTCCTATGAGAACTTATAGGATCAGAAATTAGTACTCCAAGTTCCAAGGGGTTCCAGGGATTTTGGGTGAATTTATTTTTGGTCAGAAGGGGGCAGGAAAAAAAAGAATGAGTTAGATTTCTGTGGTTAGGAAGAGATGATAATAGATAATATTTTTTGAATGCTTATTACATGCCAGACACTGTGCTTAACACCTAATATGAATTCTCTCATTTAATCCACTCAACCACCCTTACAGGTGGTACTGTTATGATGCCCATTTCACAGCTGAAGAAACTGAGGCTTAGAGAAGCTCAGGGTTTTCCGAGGCTATGTAGTGTATGTCAAGACTCAGGCCAGATATTAACAGGGAGCAATGGGTGAAGATTTGGCTTCAACAAAGAGCTGCATCTGGCCAGTGATTATGCTTCAGAAAAGCCAGGTATGACAGTGAAAACTGGTTAGGGGTGAGAATAGGACTTCTAAGACCCCAGAGATCAAGGAGCAGAAAGCCATGCCATGGTGGCACAGAAGGATATGATGTACAAGGCAGTAATAACAGTAACCGCTACCATTTGTTACATGTGTCTAAGTCAGGCATTTTGCATACATAATCTCCTTTAATCCTCACAACAGCCCTAACTGGGAATTACTACCACTATGATCGCTATGTTACAGATAAGGAAATTGAGGCTTATTGAGGTTAAATGACTCACTGAAGGCTACACAGCTGGTAAGTAGCAGTGGCAGGATTAAAATTCAGATGGCTGGGGCTTCCCTGGTGGCGCAGTGGTTGGGAGTCTGCCTGCCGATGCAGCGGAGTCGGGTTTGTAACCCGGTCCGGGAGGATCCCGCATGCCGTGGAGCGGCTGGGCCCGTGAGCCATGGCCGCTGAGCCTGCGCGTCCGGAGCCTGTGCTCTGCAGCGGGAGAGGCCACGGCAGTGAGAAGCCCACGTACCACAAAAAAAAAAAGAAAGAAAGAAAGAAAAAAATTCAGATGGCTGACTCCAGGCCTATGGCCCTATACCAAAGGGAAAGACTGTTGGCAAGAAATTTAAGGGAAGAAATTTTCTCTCCCAAGAGATGGGGGATCCCAGAACTTACGAGGGAACTCAGGGCTGCAGGCGATGCCTGGCAAGAGAGAACAGGAAACCTGGTTCTGGAAGAGACAATTTTGCCAGACTCTTTAAATCAGCAGTGCCAAGCCTGAGGCTATCCTAAATTGGGATTTAGTCAGAAAGGCAGTCCTGAAGGCCGAGGAACCTCATTCAAATAAATATCTATGACCAGATATGCTATCTCAGAATCAGAAACCTGTGTTGAAAAGTCATCTGTTTCTGTGCTTCTGTAGTTCCCTTTTTTTTCGTTTTTTAAACAATTTGCTTTCTCTCAGTTCAATGGCGATCAAACTTTAGTGTGCGTCAGAATCACCTGGAGGACTTGGTAAAACATTGAATACTGTACCCCCCTCCCACCCCCTGGAGATTCTGATTTAGTAAGTCTGGGGATGAAGCCTGAGAATTTGTACTACTAACAAGTTACCAGGTGCTGCTGATTCAGCTGGTCTGGGGATTACATTTGAGAACAAGGGCTTTGGTTTATTAGAAAAGCTATTTTTGAAAATTTCTAAACTGACTCGGCTGTGAAGAGGCAAAGGACTTGCCCATAGGCCAGAAGCAGCGGGAGTGGGTCAGGCAGCAGACTTAGTGCCCAGCTAGGTGAGTGCCTGCTATATGGGCCGGGGAAGACAGAAGTCACAGCTAGAAGACACTAGCTGTTTACAGATGAGAATGAGGGAAACCAGAAGGCCCGGGAAGCTGGGCAGGGAGCCAGACTGGCCAAAGGAGACAGAGATCTGGCGAGAGCAGAAGTCAAATGGGGTAGCACTCTTGTCAAAAGCTGCAGGTTCTTGGCTGGGCTGCAGGGAAAGAACTAGGGGAGCGGGGAGGCAAGGGGCCAGGAGTGAGCTCCTGGGATGTGGCCTGGGACAGAATCTGGAGATTGCATTTCAGCTGTTGACTCACTGTCTCCAAAGCCTCTTTCTGCCTCCTTCGGGGCTTAAGCCCATCAGTCACAGAGTGCCCAGGAGTTACCCTCTGACAGTAGTGAGGTAGAGTCCTTGCAGCAAGAGAACTGGAGACAGTGCTAAATGCTGTTTCTTCTTCACTGGGTCGTGCAGTGGCAGGCAGGTGCAGGGCTGGGGAGCTCACAGCAGGGTGGTTTGACTTCTGATGTTCTCCAGTCCCGAGGCTGCATTTCTCCCTCAAGGGAAACTGACTCAGCTGCAGTGCGCGTGCACTGCGGAGAATGGCCTGCGTGGCTGCAGCGGCAGGCTAGTCGCTGAGTGCCTGGCTGCTTTCATCTCTCCTCATGGAACTGGGGCAGCTTGGAGAGGAGGCTCCTTTCCCTTGATACCAAGAAAAGGAGCATCTCTCTGCAAGACTGCATGCCACATAGGCCCTGGACCCTGGCCTTCAAAAACAACCCACCCGGCCTGAACTAGTTTTTCCTTTTGTTCCCTTCAACCCCTTTCTTGTACATGTCTGTCCAGTTTAAAAAGGATTTATTGAATGCATACTAGATGGCAGGCCCTGTGCTGGCGATACAGTTATGGGTAAAAGAAATTTCGACCCACAAGTATAGTCGGGGAGATACATCTACAGAGATAATTACAGCCTTGTAGGATAAATGCTGTTTCTTAAACATAGAGACCATGCCCTCTCAGGACCTTTGTATTTGCTGTTTCTTCTGTCTAGAATGCTCTTCTCCAGATGTTTGTATAGTTATTCTCTCACTCTCAGGAGTGACCCGAGAGAGGCCTTCCCTGACTCTCCTACCGAACATGAAGCCCACACAATTCTCTGATTCCATTTATCCCATGTAATTTTTCCCTGTAAAACGTCTAAACTCCTTACATTAGAGATGTAATGTAAGGAGGCATTTTATATACATATATATATGTATATAAAATGCCTTGTCACTGCTGATTCTCAGTCCATGGAATTGGTACCTAATACGTACTCAATATATTTTTCCCTTTTGTTCATTCACAATAAGTGATTGCCCAGTTGAACTTTTCTGAACCTCTGCAGTCATCGAAATGGAAGATGAGGCCTGTCCACTTGGGGAAGAACATTTTGAATCGTACCTTCCCAAGCTTTCTAGTCTCTATTGTCCCCTCAGTCCAGACTGAGCAGGTTCTAGCTTCCCACCAATAACTATAATTACTGAGCATTAACTATGTACTGGGCACTTCCAAAACGTTATTTTTTTCTTTAATTTTTTATTTTTTGCGGTACGCGGGCCTCTCACTGTTGCGGCCTCTCCCATTGCGGAGCACAGGCTCCGGACGCGCAGGCCCAAGCGGTCATGGGTTACGGGCCCAGCCGCTCCGCGGCACGTGGGATCTTCCCGGACCGGGGCGTGAACCCGTGTCCTCTGCATCGGCAGGCGGACCCTCAACCACTACGCCACCAGGGAAGCCCCCAATACGTTATTTAATCTTCATAATGCTCTGCGAAGTCAGAATTATTTATTTTACCAAAGATGAAACAGACTCTGGGAGAGTAGTTGCTCAAAGTCACAGCGAGCAAGGTTCCCAGGGGGCTCTCTGGTAAAGGTCTACCAGACTCCACAGTCTACCCAAGTTTCTGTCACGTTCCTACAGGCTTTCCGCATGTTTCCACTACATCCCCCTCCCAGCCATTTCCTTCCCACTGGACCGCTGGGCCTGTCTTAGCCTGGCTGCTTCTCCAAGGGCTAGCATAAGGAGGTGCTTCAGATGCTTGCAGGATGGAGAAGGGGCTGATCTATCTCCAGGGCCAGAGCTTTCCTTCCCCTGCCCTCCCCACGGACCCGGCTGCTGGATGCCCAGTGGTCCATTCCAAAGCCTGCAGCAATCGCGCGCACTGGAGGAAAAAGGATGGGGGAAGGAGGGCGAGGCTTCTTCAAACGACCGGCGGGACCAAGGGGCGAGCACTCCTCTCTCTCTGCCGCTCCGTCGCTGCACCGGATAACCAGCACCCCCCTTCCACCCCTCCCCATCTCTTCTCGCAGCAGGGCGCGTGCGCAAGGAGCTCCTGGCCCCCTCCCTTCCGCGGGCCGCCCTTTCACCCTGGCAACGGCGGCGCGACTGCGGCGCGCGCGGGGCTGGGCGCGGACGGGGCGCGGCCGGGCGGCGCCGGTGAGGTCTGAGGCTGAGGCAGAGGCGGCGGTGGCTCAGCAGAGCAGCGGCCCCGGGTAGCCGTGTCGTTGTGTCCGACCTCCCTCCGTCTCCTCGCAAGGTTCTTCGACGCGGTTTGGGGTCTAGCGGACACAGCCCCTGGCCATGGACTCCCAGAAAGTAAGCGCGGGCACTGGGCCGCCGAGGCTGGGCAGAGCTCCCCGGCCGGGTGGGCGGTGGGCGAGCGGGGCTGGCCAGGCCAGCCTGAGGCTGGGCTATGGCCGCGGAGGGCGAGGCCGCCAGGCCGCTTTGCTCTTTCCCAGGAGCAAAGCGGCGCCCGCCGGGCTGCGGGGACCGCGCCCCGTGACCCTGGATAGCTTCTGCCCTGTACTTGGTCCTGGGTCCTGGTCCCTGGCTCCTGAGGGGATAGCGGGAGCCGCCCCCAGTTTTTCATCATTTTTTGCAACGGTCTGGGCCCTCTTTGATTCTCGCAGCCTCCCGGTGAGCTAGTGAGAGTTTATCCATCCTTAGCAGAAGAGGAAGCCAAGGCACATGGGGGTCTACCGGCTGACGCCGAAGCTGGCCCCTCTACTCGACCCAGCCTTCTCCTATCTTGGCAAAATCTGTGCCTCTTTAGGTCGGGAACCAGATCTCCTTAGTACCGCCCCCCGCCCCAGCCTTGTCCACCGCCCCAGCCCTCCTCGGGACTAGTTCACTAGCACGTCTTGGTGTTTAGTGTTGGTTGAATTGAGAGAAAAGACTGACAGTTGTCAGAGCAGCGGTCCCACCCTCTGACCAGTTCAGTGTTGCTGGTCAGTTACCTTAATGGTTGTTTTGGCATGTTTTATACTTTCTGAACAAGTTAAAGGGTATACAGAACTAGCCGTTTCTATTAACCAATATATATATATATATATATATATATTTAGAGAACATAGCCAACGTTTGAATACAATTAGAAGTGTTATTAATATTTAGTTATAATCTCTATATAAAAATCAACCACGGTGCTCTCTTTGTTAGATTATAGTAATTGAAATATAGTGCAGTATAATAAGAAGGAACACAGTGTTACTAATAATGCAGCAGGGGAAAACAAGGGCATGTCCAAGAGGCCATTCTTTTCTATTATTAGATAGAAAGTACTGGAAAAAACGTTAGAACATTGTTTTCTATAATTTTGCCTGGATTCACTTCCTTGAGCACTGGGGGCATGAGAGAATAGTGTAGTGATGTGTTTAGCGTTAACTATTACAGTATTTAACAAAAGTCATATGATTTCATTGTATGTGTGCATCTTGAAACTCAGGTATATTCAATTTTTTAATTTTCATGACTATTAGTAAGACATTTTTTAAAAATTACATTTTGTGTGTTTTGAATTTGTAAAACATTTCAAAGCTTATTTAACTTTTTAAATAAAAGTCATGTGATATCTGAGTGGACATTAGTTCAGAGCAAACGGAAGGGCAAAGACTTGGAGTCCAGAGACTTGGGTTCCATGCTGCTATATGTAGCTTTGTGATATGGAGCAAATCACTTAACTGTGATTAATCAATTTCCTGAGAATATTTTATAGTTACTGTGAAAAGGAGGTAATATAATTAAGTATGAATTATGTACTTTAAAGTACAGTCCTTTAAAGTTTACAAAGAATATACTAAAATACTCTGTGTGCTGTAAAATATAATTTTAAAAAGTATTTTAATGTGGATCATCTTATTTTGCCAGGGCATGCATTGTCTCTCATTTTAATGAGGACTCAAGAGTTGGAGTGAGTCCTGCAAGGTCATACCACTAGCCATACATAAGGCTAAGATCTGAACTTGGTTTCATTCCAATGTTGTATTTGAGTACCTACACATACTGTGTACAGTTTTACCAGAGGTAGAGAAGAATCAGCTGTTCTTTCTTACTGGTACTAATGTATCTTAGATAAGTTAGAGAATCAAGTTCTCAATATTAGAAAATATGTTGAATTTCATTGATAGTATTAAATAATATTTCTAATAAAAAACGCTTTGTTTTGTAGCTTAAAATAAGCATCATGTGTTGATGCTTATAACCAATTCAGTGCTCTGAATTTGAGCATTCTTTTCTCATGAATTACTGCAGATTCAATTATATACCTCAACTAATAATGAACTGAGCTGGTTATGTATTTCTCTTGAAATAAAACAGTAGTAGTACACCCCTGGCATGATTTCTCTTTTCTATTATAGAATGTTACAACAAAAATAATAGCAGGGATGATACCTTAGTCAGCATAAGGAAACATAGTTCCTGCAAGTGGCAGAGGGTGAGAGTGGCTTGAATATATATCCATTTGTAAGGTATTTGGGATTTGGGCTTTAAATTATTAAGAGGATGGCTTCAGAGTCGTCTCCAGTCCTTCTATTTATGAACTGAATGAGGTTGGGCAATTTGCAGTCTCCATTTCCTCATCTTTAAAGTCTCCTTACCTCAAAGGGTTATGAAGACCGTGTTAATTTTTAAAAATCACTTGGTGCCTAGCACACATAAGTACTATCCGTTAGCTATTAGTAATCTCATAATCTCGACTTCAAAGTAACTTTATCCCTTTGTTGATAATTTGTATAACTATTTTTCTAGTCCAGTCTAACCATTTCTTACCTTTGTCCTTAAGTTTAAAGCATGTTTTCTGTGTTTATGTCTGTAATAAATGTTTCAAATGATGGTGCCAAAGAAGAGTTGTTAAATCCTAATTGAAAAAGGATTGGAAATTCTGACTCATGCAATCTGACAACAGAGGTTAAGTTAACTGGACAGTCTTACAGAAGCTTGATGGTGGCTAGTCAGCAAATGGATTAGCTTGACCAGCTGCTTTTTTGTGAAAATAACTTGGACTTGTGTTAGCAACAAATGCTCTGTTTGAGTAGAGGAAGAAAACATAATTACCTTGGGTATGTAAGGTGTACTGTTGGATACAGAAAACCACAGTATTATCTTCTAGAAATAAACAGAGGGATTTTGTTTATATCGAGTTTCTGGGACACTTGTGAACAGGATGTGTTATGGATAGGTGGCTTTATTTGATACTCAAACCTTTTGATTATGTCCTTAAGTGGTTTTAAGATAAAATCCCAAAGGTTTCTTTACCTGATAAAATGTGTATGTTCAAAGAAACCATTGAAACAAATAAGACATTTGCACCTTTCTAGAATCTTGGTGCTTAGAATTTGATAGTTTCAGTTAAATTCTTGTGCAGGAGATCATTCATATTCATAGGGGTTGCTGTTTCTAGGAAGGGTTTGTGCTGTAGGAATAATAAAGGTGGAGAGGAAAGGGGAAGGGATCCCAGAGGGAGGATGTCATCAAGAGCATACATTGTCAGTTGTTTGCTTTTCCTCCCTTTCCCCCGCATATTCTACTTTCTGCTTAGAGAGGAATAGTGACAGTCAGGCAAGGCTTGATGTGCAAGACTGAACAAACCTAGACTGAGGAGATTGAACTGAGTAGGGAGAATTTTAAAGCACAACATGACCTGCAACCAGTAGCAAGTCTAGACTTGGCTTCCTCATCCCAGTTTCTTCCTCTGCCCTGGTATTTGCTATCCTTTGCCTTCTTGTTGTACCCTAACAGTTCGGAGGCCTCCACCATATCCAGGTAACCAACTGTATCTCATGTTCCAAAATTATGCCTTTTTCTCAGTCCTGAGGAAAGGAAAGAGGAATGAAATTTGAGTATTGTTCTGTATCCAGTATTGTATTAGACTGCTTTAAATTCTCACAACAGCTGTTATTCCTGTTGTAAAGATATGGAAGATGGAACTCAGAGAGGTTAAATAACTTGTTCAGAGTCACACAGCTAGCAAGTGGTAGTCTGGATTCATACCAGGTCTTTCTTCCCAGCTCAAGCTTCTTTCATTACCACCCTTCTTGCCTTGCTCCTTTGCCTTTAAATGGTGGCATGATTAATGTCATTAAAACTTAAGATATTAACTTAAGATATAAACTTAAGATATATCTTAAAATATAAACTTAAGATATATCTTTATCTTAAGATATATCTTAGATCTTAAGATAAAACTTAAGATATAAACCCCTATAAAGTAGTTTTTTTTTGTTGTTGTTATTAAGAAACTAGTTTAGTCTAGTAAAAATCGTTGATAGAAAGTATAGAACATGATTTAGATAAAACTCTGGAATTTGGTCTCCCTTGCTGCTACAAATCATTTTTCTGTAGTACATGTATCTCCCTTCTCTCCAGCTCTCTTTCTTTTTTGAGGGAAGGTCTTTGCTTTCTAAAATAGAGGTGTGACCAGGAAAGTATAACTGGGGTTTTTATACACCCCAGCCAAGCACAACTGCAGTCATTCCTGTGGAGTGGATCAGAGTAATTTGGGATGTACAAAGTATGAGGTACCCTCTTCAAAGGACCATGCTGATATACTTGTATCACTGTGTTTAAGTACAGACACCTTCATTTTTATTGAACTTGACAGTTTAAAAAGAAACTAGAAATATAGTGAAACAGACCTAACTTAAAAAAATTTTTTTAAGGACAATGGTTCTTTGCAGTGCCTGGCTGAATGTAAGCAGGATTATTCATGCAGCAAACACATATTGAATGCCATAGTGATAGATATTCCACTCCAATGTAGGGTGGACAATACTTTGAAGTTAGTGGATTTTTTCTACAGCTTTCTTTTTCTATGTTTTATATCCTCAGTTGGCACTTCTTCCCGGCCACAGGGTTCTGATTAATATGGTCTCAGTTATTGATATTTGCTGATGATAGCTAATTATATTTTGAACTAATTTATAATAGTGTTAGCACAGCCAGCCTGTGCACTTCTGTTGCATTATAAATATAAGTAACACAAGTTTATTGTAGGAAATTAGGAAATATAGATAAATGAAAATAAAATAAAAATCACCCATAATCCTGCCACCCAGAGATAACTTCTTTTAGCATTTGTATGTGTTACATTCCAGTCTTTTTTAATGCATATAGAAACTTAAAAAAACTATGGTATCACACTATGTATAGTGATTTATAATTTGCTCTCACTTAATATGTAGGGATATCTTTTTCCATGTTAATATCATTCTACAACACTTTTAATGATTTAGCAGAATTCTTTAATATGGATATATATTATGTGATTTTTTTTTTTTTTGGCTGCGTTGGGTCTTTGTTGCTTCACGCACGCTTTC